TCGGTGTAGCCTTGTACAGTCGTGCAGGGAACCTTTGATGTTTGGCCTCGTACTGTTGCTACACTTATAAAGCACGAGCTTGACGACCTTCTTCAACAAGCAACGGTCCGGTGGCGAAATGGTATCGTGTGGTCCTCCTAATTTCGGGAGGATAAGACTGAGGTTGTGGGTTCGAGTCCCATCCGGATCGTCCTTTTTGCTCCCATATCTATTCATGCACTTGTCTTTTTATTCAGCATTTCCCTGTTATCTCACCTTTTCCTCTTTATTCATCATTTGTGAGCAATATGCTGTGGAAGAGCCAATCAGCACAACAAACCATCATCAAGTATATACAAGTTTGGTTTTTGTAAGTGGCATATGTTCGCCGTGTTGAATGTTTCAGAAACACAACATTACCTACGTTCCTACCTCGTCATTCTACCATGACTCAAAAACAACCAGGTCCATATAGATCACTTCTCCTTCAGCTCCCTAATTCTTCGACCGTTCAGTAGCTTACGCTCGAACACCTCCATATTTCGGTTGAACACCTTAGAAACATGGAAGGATGTCTCGCAATCAACTCAGGTCTTCTTCCAATTGTCAACTTATGCATTCTAGGCATATATAGGACCCTTTTTACATTTTCGGACACCCCTCAAAGTTGCGACTCAGACGACGAGTATCCTGACAATTATGCACATGTATGGCTCTCGACAGGTATTTGACCCTTTGCAAACCCCTTTGCCTTCAGTAGTAAGCAGCTGACAAGGCCATCTCAATTTGCTTTGCAATATGCCTTACTTTTCTTCTTGTCTTGTCGACTTCCTTTTCTCGTCGTTTGTTATCCTGATTTCCCCGATAATCTGTGCTTTTCAATCCAGTTGGCAGCATGGTTGATGATGGAGAAAATGCTGACACAATAGGCAACTGTGGAAGTGGTTTGTTCAAATCGACCTTTTCCTCTCCTCCCTCTTGCTTTTCTTCATTGTTTCCGACCAAGCCAACTTCATTCGTCCGAATGCTTGCCTCAACCCTCCCAGCCCGAGGTCTATACAATTTGGCAGCCTGCGCAAACGCCAACGCTGCCACCTTTGCAGCCTTTTCATCGCCATCCTTCTCTGGATCATAGTATTGCAGCCAGTTCTGCAAGTTCCACTTTCCACGAGGAAAATCCTTTGCAGTTGTACTTCCCAGTTCATATTCCTGCACCGTGTCCGTGTCCATGTCCCAGCTGAAAAACGCATCGGCTCCAGCCGGAATCTTGCACGCACCACCACCGGCTTTGCTGCGCACAGTCAAGGCCCTCCAATGCTTGGCGATTTCTGGACGCTGGAGCAAGCCGTAAATAATGCTGTCGCGACTCCATTCGCGCGGCCGCTGGCCTTGTTCGATGAGCTCATCGTTGCGGACGAATTCGGCTGCAAGGTGGCGGAAGTAGTGGCGCTTGGTGCGTGAGTGAGACCTACTAGAGTCGGAGACACCGGAGCTGGAGCTGGGGGTTGCTGTAGCGCCGGAAGCATGGGAAGACAAACTGGGAGACGAAGGAGAAAAAGTATAGAAAGAGGCCGAACAAAAGCCGCAGGCAAAGGCGGTCTGGCGGCGAAGAAAGAGCTTGAGCTGATCTTGACGGTTGCATGAGGGGCACCTGAGAAGTTGTCCCCGTGACTTTTTGTTATCGGCAGGGAAGTACTTGGCCTTTGTTGGTAAGATGGTGTCGCAGTGCGGGCAGGCGATGATTTTGTGATTGGCATGGTGTTGTTGCTCGTGGAACCACAGCCACTGGGGGCTTGCAAGCTGGTCGAGGCAGGCCCTGCACTGGCAAGACATCGTTGAGATCGGCCCATTCTTCATCGCTTGATCGAGAGAGAGGTCACGATCGGTGGCTGAGAAATTGGTGAGATCACCACTCGCGCGACATTTCTCAATCCAAGAATGAGAACTGGGCGAAAGATGGTTGTTGGAAAGAGGTTTGGAGTTGCGCGACTTGCGGGAGTGACGGCGTGAGTAAACTTAGGTAGATGGAGAAAGCGAAGAAGGGATAGAACGCAACCGGTTAAACGAAGTTTTGTTGTGGGCCGAGTTGGCAAACGAGGTGACGGTAGGGTGTGGGGGATACGACGGACGAGAATAGAAGGAAAGAGGAGGAAGTTTGGCAAAGGGGGAGGCCCGCTTTTATACCTGTAGAAAGGACTAAACCTGAATATTGCTTTCTTCTCGAAGGAGATGGGATGAAGGGGAATATTGAGGCGTATATGACACGGGGAGAGGCATTTTGTTTAGGAACTACATGTTCTTCCTTCCCGGCTTCGACAGACAAGGGACCGCGTGTCTAGATGTACGACTAGTTAGGTAGACATCAGCAGAAATAAAAATAATCACTTTTGTTTGGGAGCGAAAGGGAAGAAGTGCTAGAATATAAACAGGAGTGAATGGTGGTAGGACCGTTTCCAGCTTGAAGGGGTGCCCCAACGAAAGTCATCCCAACTTCGGAAACAGTCAGCCTGCAGGTGACCACACCAAACTTCGAATAAGATTCTGGAACGTAGAAACACTATATAGAAGAGTAAACTGCGTATCTTCAACAGACATGGGTTGTGTCTAGAAGTGCCATGCCATCTGACGTTGGGCTGTCGATGTCATCCGTCCCAGCATCAGTTGCGTCACCAGACAATTAGAAGCCATCCATCTCGTACCGTACTAGGCGTGATATTCCGAAGTAGGGTTGGTAATATAACGGTATTTTGAAGTCTTTTGATCTTACTTGTCAGGTCAGACCAACGTTCCAGTTCTAACCTAGGCAGGACTGCATCAACCATGAAAGACAGCGCTGGTATAGAGCAGCCGTCCAGGCGGCACCATGAATGTGAAATTGCATTTCTTTTATACTCTATAGAAAACCGTAGCACAAGGGCGTGTTATCATGACCTTCCAATCATAGAAGCCCTCGAGACTGGCAAATTTCTAAAGTGACGGAAACGACAGGGTGAAATAGGGGCAAGGGAGCTGGACATTACAGGTTGGTGATTGCTCAAAATTGTCATCTAAAGGCAAGATGGCCGAGCGGTCTAAGGCGCCACGTTAAGGTTAACCCTTAATCTCCTCTATGAGTTCCGTGGTCCGAAAGGGCGTGGGTTCGAATCCCACTCTTGTCATAGTATTTTTTTTATTTTTACCTGTATTAGTCACAGGTGTACGTTGGTTTTTTTCTCATCTTCTTTCTTTTCCTCGCCTTTTACTGCTTTAATGGTCTACTGAAATTCGTTTCATTCATGCCTGCCTTATCTTTACCTTCATGTCTCTTTTTGAGTCATTGACTTTCAGTGCTTCCTCAGTAATCAATGGTCAAGATGTTTGCATCTTGTTCCCTGTCTGCTTTCCACGATAAAACTTCGAGAAAGACCTTCATTCCCACTTCTGACATTGCTGGAAAATGCTCTCTATGCTTTACTGAACCTGTTCACATGTCAAAATATCCCCGCTCCTGCAGCACATGCTCAAGGTATGGTCTCATTATACCAGAACGTCTTGTGAAACCATTCAGGCACTAGCCCATTGATGGGGCCGACTTATTTCATGCGAAAACCTCCCATCTACTTGAACATAGCGATTATAAAGTCACACAATGTACGGCCATTTGTTTACCCACACGGTAATTATTCTCTTCCATTACTCCTCATCGTCGCCCGGCTGATCCGCCGTGAGATCCGGGACCCAGCCCTGCGGTCGCTCACTGCCCCGAATCATCCGGTCGTACCCCAGCCTCTCGACCTTCCTCACCGACTGTCGCATAACATCCAGCTTCTTCTCCCACTGTTTCCGATCGCCGGCCTTCATCGGCAGCATCTCGAAGAAGCTACCAAGCTCGTGCATATCTTCGACAATAGTTCGCTCGTCTTCGGCACCGGCCATCTTCCCGGTCAAAGCTGTGCTGGTGGTTGCGAAGCGCATCATTTCGCCAGAGAGGTCGAAGACACCATAAAAGTAGTCGTCTTCTGTTGTTGACATGGTCAGTGGCTCTAGCTTTGGCTGCCGCTGTTCTTCTTTCTCTGCTAGCTTGTTGTCGTTGTCAGTAGTTTCCTGCTCGCCGGAGGCAGGTGCCGGAGTGTTGCCAGCGTCTGGCATCGGTTCGTCCTTGTCCTTAGCTCCGTCCTCCGACACAGCGCCCTTCCGAGTAAGCTCCTCCACAAAGGCCGACAGCTCATCAGGCTTGAGAAGAGTTTGGGTCTTGAGGTAATGGGCAAAAGTGAGTGCTTCGGCCAGCTCCTCGAGACACATCAGGGAGCGAGAATAGCGGTAACGGTTGATGCCTTGGACGTCTGGGGCCATGGTGGCCAGGAGCTTGGAGATTTCGGCAAGGCGGGAGTCCACCTCGGCTTGAATCTGGGGAGGAAGATCGGGGTTGATGGTGCGGACTCTGATGGCACGGTCAGTACTCTTGACAACCAAAGGTGAAGCAAGGTGTCAGGTCAACTACCGTTGAAGAGCAAATATTCTGTGAAACTCGTCAGCCGTGTTCCTTCAATTCGATAGTTCCATCCATGTTGCTCACATTTTCTTGCTGAGTCCGGTAATGTCTCTCGACACCTTCCCGAGGCGGTCACGACGATCATGGTGGGCGTCGAGCTCATCGCGTAGTTGTTCGAACATGGGCGTGTACGCATTTCTTACGACGGCCACCTTCGGCTTGGGTGCCGGTCGAGGTCCATTGTTGAACCTCTTTTCGTTTCCGTGCCTGTCGCGCTTAAACCCAGACATAGTGTTTCCGGTTGAGTTGTCAATTGGCTTAGGATTGTTTTCGGAGCCGATTTTGGCGCGCTTTGGTGCTGGTGCTCCGTCCATCTTGCCTTCTTCCATGATGGGAACAAATCGATGTTACAATGATGACGCCCCGAGATAAAAGAACCCCAGGGGGTGAGGCAGAGCGTTTGATGCAGAATTAATTGGTAGCGTAGAGGTATGCGCCCCGCAATTGTTAAGCTTCTATTCCCGGACCCAGAATATTAGCGCTATGGGGGTCTCTGAGATGCCCTATACATTCGACACTATTGGCAGCCTGGATGGGAAATAGTTACAGACGATAAATTCAACCATTTCAACGCAACAAAATTTATTCCATGCCTTCCATTTCTTCTCGACGCCGAACAAGCCCAAAATCGAACAGGAAACCGACCACCCAAAGCAGGAGGATATGATAAGTACTGGATGAACAATTTCCACATCTCGACATTATAATCAACAACAAGCTCTTTGCAAACCCACACAACCTCCCGTCAACCTTCAAAGCTTGGGCACCTGTACTCTCAAGAGCTTCTCTGCGTTCCCGTGCGCAATCGCCTCAAGTTCCTCCTTACTGACCAACCCGCTCTTTTCCAAATCGTGGATCCATTCAAGGCCAATCTCGTTTTGCTGAAAGGGATAATCGACACTATACAGGATGTGATCCAGCTTCGTGTTCGCCAAAATGCACCTCAATGGGTTGAGACTCCAAACGCCGCTTGTGGTGATCCATATGTTCTCGTCATAGACGGTTTTGAAGTCTCGCTGGAAATCCCCCCATCTGCGACTCAAGACCTGGATCCGTTCCAACATGAAGGGTATCGTCTCCCCCATGTGGCCGATGATTATCTTGAGCTTAGGGTGCCTGTCGAACAAGCCTGAGGCGAACAGACGAAGAACATGCAGTGCTGTCTCGGTATGCCATCCCAACCCGCTCGAAGCCATACTCATGGCCGCCCCTTGGGTGAAGTTACCTTGATAATGTGGGGCCATGTCTTCGCTGGCCCACGTTGGGTGAAGGTATATCGGTACATCGAGCTCCTCGGCTGCTGCCCAGAACGGTTCGTATTCAGGCCCATCGAAGAACCTGCCATTGTGGTGGTTGTCAACCAGGGCACCCACGAAACCCAGCTCGGTGATGGCTCGGCGAAGCTCTGCGGCTGCCTGGACTGGATGGCCCATGGGTGCCACGGCGAACCCGGCAAAGCGGGCTTTGCGTTGATCTTTGGCATTGATAACACCGGCAAGTTGGTCGTTTGCGGCATGGCAGGCGACGGGATGGTCAGAAAGACCTGGTACGTGGCTGATGACCTGAAGTGCGACACCACCAGCGTCCATGTCACGGAGGCGTAGAGCGCCGAGATCGACGGCCTTGTCATATACGCCATCGACATGCTTCAGCTGTTCCGAGTACTTTGGCTTGAGGCATTCAGGAACCGCCGAGGAGAAGAAGTGCTCCTCGAGGGCGATAAGAGGAGGCGTCATTGTTGCTGGATGCTGTTGTCTGGTACTGTGATGCTATTATCGGCGTGTAAGTGAATTGAGAGCCAGGTAGATATTACTCTACATCTGAACCATGTGTATCGTGACCGCCGTCCTTTAAGTACGTCGAGGCACTCCAGGTGCTTCTGCGCGTCGGTGTGGGAGGTTGTCGTCATAGCTGCCACGAAGCGTCCACCTACCGGGAGGTACTTGGTGTAGATCTCGGAGCATGGGAAAGACTAAAACGTGCAGGTCATTCATTTGCTTTTAGCTATACATAGGCACCCGACCCATTAGGACTGTCTCATAAACCAAGATTTTTTTTGGGAGTCTTGATGCATGTTTTGGAACCACTGTCAGAACATGGCCACTTGTGATATGTGCATCCCGATTACAGCAGACGAACGAGTAATGGCACCAGTGTTACCCTGCGATGCGCGACGGCACTCGGTGTTCATGTGATAACTTGCACAGCAAAGCCGTAATTTACCGTATTGGGGCTTGAACTCAACGCCTGCCAAGAATCCTTCTCAGCCCAAACACCCCTGAAATCTGGCATCAACACCAAGCCTGCTCCCACAGCGCGCGCTCACACCAAAGAGATCACATATTCACTTCGTCGAAGCCTCGTCTGTTCAACTGGTCACACGATTAAGTCGCAAAGGAACAGTCCTCATGGTGCCGTCAATAACCCCATGAAATGAACCCCTAAACATAGCAGCCACCCAGCCAGAACACCAAACCTTCCAAAATGGCGACGACATCACCAGCGGCCCCCAGGCCCAAGTCCAAGTCCTCTTCTCTCCTAAGCACCCTCTTCTCCCGACCACTGCCCCTCTACGTCTCTGCCTTCCTCCTCCGCCTTGTCCTCCTCCTGTACGGCCTCTGGCAAGATGCCAACTCGCCGCTCAAGTACACCGATATCGACTACCTCGTCTTCACCGACGCGGCCCGCTTCGTGTCTCGCGGCGAGTCTCCCTACGCCCGCGAGACGTATCGCTACACGCCTATTTTGGCCTGGTTATTACTGCCCACCACATGGACGGCAGGCGCGCAATGGGGCCCCTTGGCGGCCAAGGTGATCAATGTGGCGTGGTTCAGCTTTGGAAAGGTCCTGTTTGCGGCGGCGGATTTGGTGGCGGGGTGGTTGATTGAACAGGTGTTGGTCATGGGGAAGGATTTCCCTTCTTCTGCTGCTCAAGGAAAGGAGAAGGACACCGAGAAGAAAGAGGGAGGAAGGAAGGGCCGCAGCGAGACAGCCACGGGAATGGACCCCTCCCGCGCTCGCGCCTTCGCGGCCATCTGGCTCCTCAACCCCATGGTAGCCACCATCAGCACGCGCGGCTCGTCCGAGGGTCTTTTGGGAGTTCTCGTCATGGCTCTTCTCTGGGCCGTCCTCTCGCGGCGCATCACTCTTGCCGGCCTGCTTCTGGGATTCAGCGTGCACTTCAAGATCTATCCATTCATCTACGCGCCCGCCATCGTGTGGTGGATGGACCAGGAACGGCTTTCCGGACTTAGAGCAGGAGGAGGCCAGAAGAAGACGTCGTCATTCAGAAAAAACCTAACATGCTTTCTCACCCTCCCCCGCCTCCTCTTAGCATTCACCTCCCTCGCCACCTTTTTCTCTCTCAACTTCCTCATGTACCGCCTATACGGCCACCCCTTCCTGCAGGAAACCTATCTTCATCACGTCACGCGGATTGATCACCGGCACAACTTTAGCCCTTACAACACCCAACTTTACTTGTCTTCCGCGTCCGTATCACCGTCGCATTCAGCAGGAGCAGCAGCAGCAGAACCAAAATTCAAAATCGAATCCCTAGCCTTCCTGCCCCAACTGGTCCTCTCCACCATCCTCATCCCCCTCACCCTCGCCAAGAAGGATCTACCCACCTCTCTGCTCGCGCAAACCTTTGCTTTCGTGACCTTCAACAAGGTCTGCACCAGTCAGTATTTCCTCTGGTACCTGGTCCTTTTGCCGTTGTACCTCCCGCGGTCTTCGTTTTGGACGAGTAAGAGGATGGGCTTGGTAGCGCTGGGTCTGTGGGTGCTCGGCCAGGGACTGTGGTTGCAGCAGGCGTATGAGTTGGAGTTTTTGGGGCGGAGCACGTTCTTGCCTGGGCTGTGGATGGCGAGTTTGGGATTCTTTGTGGTGAACTGCTGGATTTTGGGGGTGATTGTTGGTGATGGTGGGAGGTGACTGGGGTAGAGATTGGTCGATGAATGATGGGAAGACACCGATTTGGTGAATTGTATATATTTGCGTCTATCAGGTTGTCAACTGATCAGGCAGCCAAGACTCAGCTGTTTATATGGAGAAGCCAAAGTTACACTGAAATGCACCTGTGTTCGATTCTACAATTTCAACCATATTGAGTGCTAATCCTTTCGGTGAAACCCGAAGGGAGCATACCATCCGTCATGAGAGCAGTCCATTTGCGATATCTTTCACACGGTTTCAATTGATACAGCTAACGCCGCTTGGTTTGTAGACAAGATTTAGATTGATAACAATGATATGCCATCTCCGCGCGAGTGTTGCCACGTCAGGGTAGTCTGCCCTCCAAGTCCCGCGACCTAATAGTAAGATCTGTTGTTATGCTAAGACACATGTTAAGGATATCGGATTCCCATATTGACGCCGGTGCCGTCCGACCATTATCCTCATGTTTTAACCCCCAACCAAGATCCGCCTTCCCGCCTGCCTATGTGGCATACCTTGATATCAGTGGGAGGCCCCAACTTTGGAACCAAAACGCCATGCTTTCGAAACGAGAATCAAGACAAAACAAAATCAAACCTTCCCATGTAAAAGATACAGTATATCTTTGGGGCTTTATGCTATTCAGGGGCAAATTGGGTACCGAGCCACAACAACCATTTAGACTGAATGGGAAATGGAAATGCCACCGCTCAGCAAACGATAGTTGGACAACTTCAGCGACAGAGCCCTGGCCCTGGGGAAGTCAGGGTTGATGACCATCCTGCCATCTTTGCTGTAGCCAACCTCACCAAACGACTCGGACAATTCCTCGAAGCGCACCGAGGGCCGGACGCGGTTGAGTTCGCTAACAATTACCTCGCTCCAGACACCGGATGCCCAACCGTTGCGTAACTGGAAGTATGGATTTAACGGGGGAACGGGAGAATCTGATATTCAATGTTAGTCACAAATTCACTGGAAAAGAGAAGGGTGCCCAATGAGTGACATACCGAGGTCGACATAGCGTATGCGCAGGTATTTAACCGAAGTCAGCTTCTCCAAAGAGCGGATACCCGCGAGTACCAGAGCCTCAAACGCCTTGATAAAAAACATGTCTGTGATTCCCGACCCAGATTCGTTCCAGTGTGCCACGTTTCGGCAGCAGTTCTTGACTGTAATATCGATCGATTTGAGACGTGGATTTCGGATGTCCTTCAACCGGTGTGCCAGGTCGATGAAAAACTGTTTGCAAACCCTTCCCGTGTAAGAAAAGTGTTCCATAGAAGGTAATGCCGCAGCTTGTGCTAGGGTCGAGCAGAAATGCACCTTTGTCCTGACTTTGTTGAAGTAATGGGGAAAGGATAGTTCTCGCCGATAATCGCCTTCAATGCAGAGATTAAGGGTGGACAGGCTCATGGGCTGCCCAAGGACTTCGGCCATGGTGAGATAACTCTTGGACTTGGGCTTACTGTAGGAACCGTGCCATTCCTGCAAGTTGGGGAGAGCCGACATGATGGCTTCCCAGTCTTGCAGGCTCCTGATCAGGTTCCACTGTCCCTTGCAGATAAGTGTCCGAATGGTTTCGACCTTGGGCATCGCCCTAAGCTGCCCGCGCTCTTCCCGAATCCAATGTCGCACTTTCGGCGCTTTCTTTCTTTCGCCACCTTCTAGAGTAAGGACGGAAACTTCAGGAAAGGTCTCGGCGACGAAGTAGAAGGCCTCTTCTAGGGAGCAATTGTTGCCCGGTAATAGGTAGGTCGCATTGGTCAAGCCATCGGCAGTGACGGTAGGCAAAACATTGGTGTTGGAGACTGCCAAGGGACCGTACTTTGGCTGGAAGACGGGAAACCAGACCTCGATGTGCTTGACGTAGCAGCGCAAATGCGGGTTCTGGCAGAACCAGGAAAACGAGCCGCGCAATGATTCGATCGTGGCCTTGAGCTTGATGTGCCGATATAGTCGCTCCTGGATCAGGATCCTCCATACACTGCTGACCAATGATAACTCTGACAGTTCTCTTCGCCGCGAGTGCCTCAGTGCGGTGCCCCATCGTACAATGGAGCTCTTTGAGGCTGGCGAAATGCGGAAGCCAAACAAGTGGTCGAGGATGCATTCGTGGATCTCGGCGGGGAGATGGTTGAGGTTAACGCCAACGCTTTGGCTCGGACCGGGCAGAGCGCCGGCAGACGGTTGACAGTGGCCAGGCTCGTCTAGATCCATCAGGTCCTCGGCGGGACAAGTGGCTCTTCGCATCGTGGCATTTCGAGGATCCGCGTGCGGAAACGGGGTGCTGCTTGGACGGGTGGGTGGGATGAAATCTTGCAGGCCAGCCTGGTCGAGTGGTGGGCTTGACGAACCCGGCGATACGGGGTTTGAGGCTGTGGTCATAATGTTGGCCAACTCGACCGTTGCCCTGCCCTCCTCTTCTTCTTGCAGTGATTGGTCCCTCTCGGCTCTTGGTAGGCGGGTGTCCAGAGTCAAGGGCTCGGAGTGCATCGGGTTGCTGGGCGGTGTCATGTTGGAATCTCTGGCGTATATGGTGGATGCCGTACTAGTCATCTGGTGCCTTCAAGGTCATGACATGCGGGCAAGCGAGAGATATGTCGTCTGTCTCGCTCTGACCAAAGAACGGGCGTGTAGTGATGGCCGAGTTTGTCGCAATGAAGGCGACGTAAGGTACCTAGAAGGATGTCCAGAGTAATGGAATGGTACGTATGGTGGTTGATGTGGGTAGGGGAGGGGGGAGGAGAGACGAGACCAAGGACGGAACAACGACACGGCGGCGCAGGGAACGGAGAACAAGAGGACGAGGAGCGCGAGCTGATGGATCGACGAGACTATGAATCGCGAAGGCGGGAAGTCTGGACTCTGGAGGAAGGCAGCGAGCAACGAGAGGGTTGCTTGGGTCGCGTGCGCCGTCGGAGGTGGAATAATTCGGCCTGCGGGAGGAGCAAGTTGCTGTCGCAGTCGCACATCCAATACGCCTCAATTGAACACCGAGCGCCTGTTTATGCCTGTACTGCGTAGGTTGTCTGCGTGCGCTATGGGCCGATCGGTGTGCGATAAGCTGCCGAGATGGACGTAAGTCCTGTTGTCTCGAGTCGCGTGCCAGAAAAGCAAGCGGAATGAACGACAGGCAGGACACTTTGTCGACACTGCAGCAGGACGGCGGGGAGAAAAGTCACAGGTTGACGCCGACACCCCGACAACAGGACTTTTGGGACGGCTTGTTGACCGGGATTCAAACGGCCAGACCGTTCCCCAGGCTTAGATTGGCGGGTTTTGGATGATGGGGTTGGTTGGAGGGCATGCGTCGGTGCCGGGCGGGCGTGTGGTGTCTGAGTGGCTGCAGGCGGGCAGTGAGGTGTCTGGCTGTGGCAGGCTGCAGGTGTCTACACTACACTATCTACTCTATGGTAGAGTCTAATTACTAGGTAGGTAGTGCATGGTGCCCGAGACAGAGTGGACAGCCCAGGACCCAACCTCGGTGGATTACCTGGCCTTGGGTTCCCTTGGGGCTGTGGCGGGTAATGGGAAATGTCTACTTTTGAACAAGATGCAGAGTATATAGGTACACTACTAAGAGTGAGCTCGTGAGGCAAGGGCCCTTTGGTGCTACACTACAGTAGCGACATGAAATTTGGAGAATCGAGCCGGGTGGCTGGTGAGCCATGTCCTTGGTCAAGTTGTTGTTGTTGTTGTAAAAGTGGGTGGTGCCGTGGATGGCGATCATGGCGGAGGCTCGGATCCGATGGAGGCTGGGAGGGAGATGGCAGAGGATGGAAGGCTTCTAACAAATGCCCCTCTAGGATGATAAAGTACCGCATGCGGATTCAAGGTACCACTAACTCTGGCCCACATGCATTGTTGGTTGGCGTGGACAAGCGACCGACGGGAGACCCTACCCGCGACGTCAACGGAAGTGGAGAACGGACAATCTGTCGGAAACCAAAACGTTTAAAGGACGATCTTGGATGAAAAAGTGCACCTTTTTCCAGGACACTGCCCCCCTCCTCATCTCCCTTGTGTGCCACGGCAGTGTTGCCATCGATATGAGGCCCTATTTTTGGATTGCACCACACAGATTTTGCAGTTCTTGTTTATATACCTGTAAAACACTTTTCCTCCAGGCCTTCCCACACATTGTGCGAACAACAATCCATCAACAGACGGGCACGCACCCAGAAATCCTAACTTTGCACAACGACAATCACAGCACATTGAAAAGCCTGCCTCTATTGTCATGATGCCGTTGTTCAAGCAATACCGACATCACGATACTTGGTGGCAATCAAGGAAGAAACCTGTCGTGCTGCACTGAGTCTGCAAGGAATCGACACGACTTGAAAATCATGACGATACCCCATCTGGCACTTGATGCGATGCATGGCCAAGATACCTCATCTTGAGCAACATGCAACAATTCGGCGAGGGGGGAGGGAAGAGGGGCCCTAGTACGTACGACAAGAACAAGATCACGCCCGGTCTAGGCTGTGCAAGTCCCGTGTGTACTCGTCAATCACCAAAACCACAAGGCTGTCTCACACGCGTCATTGAAAGCCCTCCGAAGAGACGGAGACGTAATCGGAGCCGGACCCATTGCTGGTAGGCCAGCTCAGCTTCAGACGGGATTCCGGAGTCCGAACACGGCACCCGGACGGGACCTACACTCCCGGACCCCACCACTCGATTAAAGTGGGACCTGACTAACCCAGCAAACACCCGGACCCTATTCTAGACTGCCGGCTTGTGAACAGAGCACGGGGAGCACGGGAGCGAGATCAGTACCTAGTAGTCCCGCCCCGTCAGCTCCGTATTGAAGTCCGAATAAGCGCATCAACAACTTCACCGCCGTCTTTGATGGCCCAGAGTGCCCCTCGCCACTCCTCAGTTTCAGTCCTCTCCGGGCCCGTCCGATCAATGTCTCCTTCCTCAATAGGACCATAGCAATTCAGCAAGGTGCTCCTTATATGACTTTAACTTGAACATGACTACTGCCAAGGGTCTCAAGCTTCAGCACCACGTCTTGTTATAACATGATCCCACTTCGGAAATGACAGTGTGGTGCCGTTGCAATGGTAGCATTCGCTCAGACACGAAACATGATGCAAGAGAACAAGCAGCGCCGCGAATGACACCCGTTTGGTGGAGACTGCCCTGGATGCGGAGAGGCGCTACGCTCTGTCTTGGCGTAGTTGGCGACGTGTTTCAGACTGCAAACCAGCGCTTGCAATAATCAATCCCCCGCAGCGACTGTTGAGCCTCCTCTTCCTCGCCCACCACACTCCCAAGTTCACGGGCGACGGCTTTGAACCCGCGTCATCATCGGCTTCATCACAATCAGCACGTCAAGACACTGCGCGTCTCAGGTTCTCATGTGCTGATATCATAGCTCTATTCCATGTAACAGACCCCTTTGTTTCCTTGGGCGTCATGGCTTTGCGTAGCTATGTATGACGGTTCGACAGATATACATAGGTATGAGGGTACGTATTTCGTTTGCCTTGGTAATGATCGTTCCTTGTCCACTGCCGTCGATCGCCAAGAACCGACCCAACCGAGCCTCACCAACATCACAGCGCCTACAGCCGACTATTCGGAGACTAATATATGTGCTTGAGGCATTGCCTCTAGGTCTAAACCCACCCTGTAATCACGGTCCCGGCTAGGGATCATGTTCATTTGGCGCCAACAGTGATTTCCCCAGATCGATTGGAGAAGCACTCGGATTCAATATCCCGTTCATGCACACACATATATCAGTAATTTGCCGGCCGTGTTTGCCTATTCGCCATCCCGAGCAAAAACACACCAACTATTGCCATCAGGAGTGGGTTCAGCAGCATACCCGATGGCGAAACGAATGAGACTATAACTCTCAAAAGGGGCAAATGAACGGACATAGCTTCAAGACTGCCAACCCGCCCAGAGTTCACATCCACGCCAAACATTCGCCCAGACACGCGCATCTGTCTCGTCGCGTGGGATCTCGGAAAGATTCTGTAACCTCCAGACAGTGGCGTTTGAGGTTTAAGGGGGCGCACTCGCCTATAGCGTGACGAATCCCACCTGGCGTTACGGCTTCCTGGGTTCCGAATGGTGGGATCCGGACGGCATACCCCAGCTTTATACCTCTTGGCAGGCAAGGATGTTTTGCTATGCTTGGCGTCCCGGACATCGACTTCACCATTCCGCAGAACCATCCAGGAACCATCCAGGAGGCCCAGAACCGCTATGATGCCGTAGCATTTTCCCAGTGTCCTGTCCGTGGTAGCGGTCCCTGCAGGTTCGCCAATGTTTCGGTAACGGCCCCCTTTACGACGTTACCGTCACGACGTAACCCCCTTCTTCGAGACATCATGGACCCCCAAAGGGGCCTCGGGATGCAACTGTCCTCGCTCATGCGCCAGGTTCGAGCGGAATTCAAATAGGCCGGTACTGGGCTGTTTCAATCATGTCGTCTCAACCCAGCATCGACTTGTTCTTGTTTCCCTCTTCCCCCTTCGCTTCTCCTCGCCGTGGGCACCACTGACGGCCTTCCTCTGCCCTCCGGATCTCTTTTCACGTATTGCTGTGCATACGCCATCCTTCTTTTTGCTTGTTTATACTTTGACAAACACGATCCTTTGCCGGCCTTGGATCTTAGTTGGTTGATTACACATTCCGTTCGTTTACCACCAACCTTACACCTCGACATCTGTCTGTGTGACTTCAACTATCAGCCTCTCTTTTGCACACGGCATATTCTCGACACTTCGCTGTACAATCTAGGTGGTAGCAGCCTGGACATTATTCAGCATCTTCGTCCATAATTATCAAGAAGACACTTAAAAAAACGCCACCATGGTTCGGTTTTCCGTCGCAGCTGCCTTCCTCCTCTCTGCCCTAGGCGTCACTGCCGCCCCTTCGGGAGGAAGACACAACCATCAGAACACCCAGAACACTGGCGCCACCGCTGGTAACGCCGCCGGTGTCCCCGTCTCTAACTCCCAGATCAACAACATCATTCCCGGTCGCTACATTGTCGTCTACAACAACACCTTTGGGGAAGAGGCCATCAATGCCCATCAGATCAAGGTCACCTCGCTGGTGGCCAAGCGCAACCTGGGCAAGCGCGACGCCAAGACCGGCAGAATCATGTCCCCCAGTGTCAAGGCCTTCAAGATGGGCACATGGCGCGCCATGGCTCTCGACGCCGATGATGACATGATCAATGACATCAACTCCGCCCAGGAGGTCGAGTACATCGAGGCGGATCAGTACGTCAAGCTCAACGCCCTCACCTCGCAGAACTCGACCACCACCGGCCTGGCCCGCCTCAGCCACGCCGGCCCCAGCAAGAAGGCGGCCCCCTACATCTTCGACAGCTCCGCCGGCGAGGGCATCACCGCCTTCGTCGTCGACACCGGTATCCGCGTCACTCACTCCGAGTACGAAGGCCGCGCCACCTTCGCCGCCAACTTCGTCAACAACGTCGACACAGACGAAAATGGCCATGGGTCCCACGTCGCGGGTACGATCGCCGGTGCCACCTTTGGCGTCGCCAAGAAGGCTAAGCTGGTCGCTGTCAAGGTCCTCGACGGCTCCGGCTCCGGCTCCAACTCGGGCGTGCTGCAGGGCATGCAGTTCGTCGCCGACACGGCCACCTCGCAGAAGCTCGGCGGCAAAGCCGTCTTGAACATGTCCCTCGGTGGCGGCAAGTCACGCGCCATCAACAGCGCCATTAACCAGATTGCTGCCGCTGGCGTCGTCCCCGTCGTCGCTGCGGGTAACGAGAACCAGGACACTGCCAACACCTCGCCCGGTTCTGCGCCCGCCGCCATCACCGTTGGCGCCATTGACCAGCGCACCGACGCCCGCGCCTCCTTCTCCAACTTTGGTGCTGGCGTTGACATCTTTGCTCCCGGCGTCAACGTCCTGTCTGTTGGCATCACCAGCGATACTGCCACTGACACGCTCAGCGGCACCTCCATGGCTAGCCCCCACGTTGCTGGCCTCGCTGCCTACCTGATGGCCCTTGAGGGCCTCACAGATGTGACGGCTGTTGGCAACAGGATCAAGGAGTTGGCGCAGAAGACGGGCGCCAAGGTGACGAACAATGTTAGGGGAACGACGTCGTTGATTGCTAACAATGGCAACCTCTAAAGGGTTCAAATGGCAAAAAAATATTGGTTGCCTCTCGGGGCAGGGAGTGAAAAAAAAAACAAAAACAAAAATGAAGGGATGCTTGTTTTCTTATGCTGGAGAGGAATGATTACTTGAACTGAAAGCGATCTTGTTACTGTTGTCGTTGTTGTTTACGGAAACGAAGTCAAAGTGTATATATATAGCCAGCCAAGACAGACCATCGTCCGTCGTCATGCTTTGCGAGGCCTGAATTGGATGGAAAGATAAAGGGTTGTTGGATAATTCATCTTTTTAAATATTCAAGTCGTTACAAACATATATGACCCAACATTTCCTCAGTATTTCGTTGTGACTCCTCCGCTGAATTATCATCAGTTAGGAAATGACTAGGTGTAGTTCCTACTCCGCTCTGTGACCGTTTCCTTCTCGGCCTAGCAGCAGAAGAGGTCAATAGAAGGAGGAGTTTCGAATATTGACAGACTCCCTTGATCGCAAACCCACAACACCCACCTCAGTACCTCTCACTCGCACTTTCTACTACCTATCCCAACAATCCCGGTGAGATTTATTTATGCATAGCATATACATAGATATGCATGCGTCCCGTCGTTGTAGGGTGTCCCGAAATTACATATATCAAGACGCGCCCTGCTTTCTCTACTTCAGTTCTGCCGCTAGTTGCGTCCCAGGCAGGTACAAGCCGGTAGAAAGGGATGCTTGTGGTGAAACAGCCACGCAGGTACCGGCCCGGACGGTGAGTACAAAGCAATAATGTAACAAACAACTGAAACCAGTCAGTTGTCTGTCAGCTTGTAGCGCCTATCGCCGTTGGGTAATCTTAATGGCTTTCTTGCCCGTCCCGACTTGCATTGGGGTAAATTATTTGACTTGTGTCACGTACTGGCTGTACATTCACTCCTTCGAGTCATGGAACATCGTGCACTAGGTAGCACATGGACTCTTCACTTCACTGCTTTGATTGAGATGTTTGAGCGCATATTAAGAGGTACGAGTCAATCTTTTATTTTATTCTTGAAGGGTAATAGTCATAGGATCAAGGTGGAACGATAAAATGTACGCAATCCGCCGGCAACAGACTCCTTGCCGTAGACAGTGAGTCCCTGATGACGACGTGCCCGGATACCAGGCTACTTGCAGGGTGAGGTTTAATTTCAGCACATCTTCGGCACAACCATAGCCATTGATGGTTCTCTCATTAAGAGGGAACGCGACTAGATTGCAATTTGACATCCGTGCTAGTTTCTGCGTGTACAGGTTCATGTCAATGATTGAAGGAAGGGCAGCAATCATTTGAGACTGACTGCCCATTCTCAGATCTCCTCAGAGGTAGATGAACGGAGCGGGGGAAAGAAGGTTCAATGGTCGTTTATTAAAACAATGTTAGTAGTTGTCGTTCCTCGAAACCCAGGCCACGAGGCACACTGATCTTTCATCAGGGGCTGGGTAGGGGAACATAAAAGGGGCATCGCCGTACCCCTTCCCCGACCACGAACGCCCGGCTTGCCGCGTCTCCCAAACCAGAAAATTACCTTTATATCGCCCGCGCAAGAAGGTACTCGCCTCGTGATCATACGAAAGTCATCGCTAATTCAATATCACATGAGATATTACATGCTGGCTTAAACCGATCTATCGTTGGTCGTCTGTGTGTGGTGTCGAAAGATCCGATCAGGCGCCGGTCATTAAAGGGTGTTGATCGAATTGATGGCTGATGCATTACAACTCCTGATGCACCACCGTTGTGGGGATGCTGGATACTGTGGCACTCGAGACAGCAGCGGCCCCATTAACCAGTGTGCCGACTCTTGCTGTGATGTCTTCGTAGGCCATGTCGAATCGAGCACCCATGAGCCACGCGGCTCCAATCTATACAGCTGTTAGCATGTGAACGAGCAAGCCGACCACGCGGAGGTTGTGGTGACGAACAGAAATACCCACCATAAGACCGCCCATAACGAACAGGACACCAATCATGGACAAGACCAGGAAGGTGGTGTCACCATTGTCCGTGGTGTTTGCCGCTGCTTGGTTGGAATTTTGGGCCTGAGCGAGTGCGATTTTCTTGGGGTCTTGGGTGGGGAAGATGGACTCGATGAATTGCTCGATCTGTAGAGGTTTTTGTCAGCTTAGACTCGAAAAGGAAGATGCGGATGACAATCCTTACCTTTCCGCATTGGACGCTGATTGCCAGGTAATTGGGATCTCTTGGATCGTTCTTCTTGTGTATCCTCCTCGCGTATCTGCGGAACACCTCGCACACTACGCGGAGATTCTGAGTCGACTCCATCATGAGCTGGCAGGCGTCACCCTTGGTGATCTTGACGTTTCTCTCAAAGATGGCTGGGTTGCGGAAGACGAGTTCTAATGTTGCGATGGCCATAGCCTGGGGAATAGCGACGAAGTTGAACACACTCTGGTCGCGCATACCGGCCATGTAGAACAAACAATCCTCGGTGTGCTTGAGCGCATTGAGGACCATCTCCGAACTGCACTGGAGCGCCTTTTCCCGGTTCTCCGGTTTGAACATGTCGTCCCATGTGTTGACATACTTGCTCCAAATTGTCTT